CAAGGGGCAACCCATGCTTGTTCAGCTGCCTCTTTCTTTTGAATTGTTTTGACCTCCTCGGATTTTTCCCCCAGAGGTAAGGGAAAAAGAACAATCTTGTTGCAGTTTAGTCCACCTTAGAAATAAGCCAGCAAAGTGATGAGAGAGACGTGTGTGTGTGTGTGTGTGTGTGTGTGTGTGTGTGTGTGTGTGTGTGTGTGTTGGGCGGGATCTGGCTCAGGCAATCGCCTCACAAAAGCCCAGACTAAGCAGGGAGTGGAGCAGTGACCCTTCCAGGCAACTGTCATTCACTCAAACTTCAGCTCTCTGCAAGATGCTAGAGTATGAACTCCTGAGAACCCAGGCGAGAGGAGATTGTTTAATCCTTGTACACTCTCCCTTTCAAAAGCTCTCTGACCAATTGTTCTCCTGAATTAGAGTGTGTTCTTGCTTTTGGTTGTGCACAGGGATCAGAGGAGAGCTGCAGCTGTGTCCGTACGGTGGGTCTGTCTGTTTTGCCTCGGCGGCCTGTTCAGCAGTCACACTGCGTCTAACACAATTATGGAGACCTAGTTGTGCAGGGAAAGTGAATGATATTAATTGCCGGCAGGCAGGCAAAATATGTGCTATTTTTTTTCCCCTTGTCAAAGTGCAGAGCCGTATGATTTTTAAAGGAAGAGCTCTCTTTTAAGAGGAAAACTTCTGAGATTCTAATCTTCTTTTGCCTTCCCATATGTGAACTTCGGCAAGTCACAAAACCCGATGTAGTGTCTTCAGGTAGTGTGAAACGTAGTCACCAGCGTAAGTCTGGCCTGCCGCACCTTAGGAACCACCTGATGAAGTAACATCCTTGAAATGTGTACAATAGTGACAAGACACACCTCAAGCTATTCCCTGTACATCTAGAGGATAAACTAGGCTTCCTTTGCCTTTCTGAGACAGGGTCATGCTGTGTGGTCCGGGAAAGCCTTGAACTTCTCATCATCCTTGGCTGCCCCAGTGCTGAGATTATAAGCAGGTGATGAACCAGCCTGCCTCCATTTTAGGCTTAAAAGCCACTTTATAGCACAGACAAACTAGGTCCATTCCTGTTTATGATCACATCTGTGTTTCTCAAGGACTGAGCTATGCTCCACCTGTAACCTTAACCGCAGATGGCTCCACACTACCTGTTCCAGGAAACAACAACTATATCTTTCTTTCAAAGGTCTTTGTAACCACCTGTGTGACGACCTTGGTACGACCACCTTGCAACCATGGCATTGCTTCAAGAGATCGTTATGACTAACTTGTTACGTTTATGTTCTGCTCCTGTAACCCCCCTGTTTTGCCTGCCAAATCCTCCATTTGGAAACCCTCCACCCCTGAGTTATAAAAACATTGTCTTCCTCACGTCCAATGCCGATCTCTTGAACCTGACCTTCGGGGGAGTCAGCCCATGTATACACATAAAAAATGCTTGCTTTAATTAATTGTTTGCTTTAATTAATTTGACCATGGTGACTTGGGTTGGTGGTCTTTCTCCTCAAATCTTTGGGATTAACACACATACTACCACACCAGCCCCAGACTTTCTGGCACACTGTTTTTTGCAATCTAAAGTATTTAAAATTCATTTATTTGGCTGGACTATGCAATGGGAAAAAATATGTTGTGTATAAGTCCTCTCAGTAATACAAACATATTTTAAAATGGTAACTTGTGCCAGGCATTGGCGGTGTAGGCCTTTAATTTCATCACTTTCGGGGCAGAGGCAGGCAGATCTCTGTGTGTTTGAGGCCAGCCTTGTCTACAGAGTGAGTTTCAGGATAGCCAGAGCTACATAGTGAGACCCTGTATTATTCCAAACAAAACAACAAACACAAGGAAAGGTAACTTGTTTCTTCTTTCTCTGAAGATCTCAGAAAACTCTGTTGATAGAGGCCAACTCTTTGACTTGCCACCAGAATTTCCTAAATGCTAAGCAAATTTGAAGACAAGGTATATAAAACAGCAATATAAAGTGATTTTGGATCACAATCTTTATTTTGAGATTAAAAGTCCTTTTTAAAATCTGAGCTGGGCTACCAATGAATGAGACTTGCCCAAGAACAGCAGACGACACACAGAAGTGATTCTGCCATGTTTGGAGTAATTAATTACACCAGGCAAATGTGCTGAGCAAACCACTTCTCTGGGGGGCCTCCCTGGGCTGTGCTAATAAGTCACTCAGTGGACCTTAAAATCTTCCTCCTTTTAGCTTATTAACTGGCCATCAAGGAGAACCTCTGTCTGCCTTCCTCGACTGCATCAGACCAACATGCTTTTGAGAAGGCTGAGGAAGGAGAAGCAACACCATAACTCGCAGCCTTGCTCACTCGGAATCAACTTTAGAAAACAAAATACCAAACAATTGGCCTATCTCATAAATCACTGGCACCATGCTCCCAAGAACGACTCCCAGGCCATGTTCAGCAACTTAATAACATGAGCCAGCAAAACAAACAGCAAAGTCTGGCTTAAATCCTTAAGCAGGAGGGCTTCTGTTGTAGGGGTAGCAACTACCAACGCCATGTCTGCACTCAGTTAAGGGTTCCTGAGTCCTGCACACAAGCTGCTCAGTTGATGCAGGGTGATCACTCACATCTCAGTGGAGTCGTATGGAGGACTGAATGGACCAGCTCATCATTTAATTCCAAATTGTGTTGCTTTGTATGCAGAAGATGTTCAAGGCCAAGAGAACTTTTCCTTGCTTCCAAAGCAAAGAAAAACCACTAGCCCTACAACAAGTATACAAGACCTCCTCATAAATCTCACTCTACTGATAACTTTCCATGAGCTGAGAGTCATCTGACCTATAGCTAAAATTTCAAGATCAAAACCTCACTCATTTTCCCCCATCCCCATGGTGACTCTTTCCTTTCTTTCCACAGTTCTCTCCAGTGTCTTCCCACAAACTTCCCTCTAGTTTGCTTCTGTATAGAAACCTCACCAACAAACTCAGCGTCTTGTTCCCACCACGATTTCTCTGGCTTCTTACCTTCTCATCTGCCTCTGTGTAAACCCTACCATAATATCAAAAATTCAGCTTAGACCCTACCAATGCTATGAAAAACATCAGAGAACTCAAACTGGAGACAGCCATAAGCGATTATTTATAAGGTTGTTCCTTATAAATTGTGTAGGAGCAACTTAAATATCCATGCCTAATAGAAAAGCTGAGTGAGTTATACTATGGCCGTACCAAGGCATGTGTCCAGCATGCCATTTAGTGGGAGAATACCAAATACCAAGTCAACTCATTGGTGGATGTTTACGTTTTTAACTTTTCACTGTTTTGTTTTTTCAGGTTCTCTGCAATGACTGTGTATTATTCATGTATAAACAAAGTTAAGTGCTAAAAGTCTTTTGCTATACTTGTACCCTTGGCCTGGTAATTCAGCTTTTAGGATGATTACCAACCTAGGGGACATAAGCAGATGTTCGTGCAAAGATGTCCTTCCCTGATGTATTTATAATAACGATAATATACCAGAAGCAACACAGATGTCCAGCAGCAGAAAGTGCGTGTATGAGATGAGCAGTACACAATCTCTAATATCAGATTCTTGTACATATTTAAAGACAAAAGAAAAAGTTTCTGATGGATTAAATTTTAAAATCCACATAGATAGATAAGTGTAATTCCGTTTCGATTTGATGGCCTAGGGAAGTATGAAAGTGCAGATTAACATGTTAGTAGCCAATACTACTGAGCGGTGAAACTGTTTCCAGATCTTGCTCTGCTGTCATTTTTAAAAATGGAAGAAAAATTATGACTTTGATTGCTCGAGTGATAGATTATGTGATCCCTCCAATCTTTTCTTTCAATTATCATTTCTATACAGTTTATCCATGTGCCACACAAGAATGTAAAGTTGATTCAACATTTCTTACTCTCTGAACCTCTCTGAGAAACAATAGGAAGAAAATTGACCGAGAGATTTTTGCTTTGCTCTGTAAAATGCTCGGACAACAGAGGAAAGGGAGCCACAGAGGACTGCCCCCAGCTCCCATTTTTGATTCATGACACCCAGCTATTTTCAGACATTCCACTCTGCAGAATCTGTGCAGGCAAATGTCCAGGCAGGTTCAAGTCCAGTGACAGCTCAGGTGTAGTGTAGCCTGGGTCCCTGGCCACGCTCACATTTTGATGGCTTTATGAGTTCAAAAAAGGCCCTCATGTCTTTAACCGAGGTCTGATAATTCACTGATTTGTGTGACTATCAGATAGAAAGATAATAGATTAGATCGGATAGAACATGTATGTTTTATAATTGTTATTTAATGTGTAGTTTAAGCTCTTCAGCTTGGAGCACGGCAGGGAAGAAAAACATTTGTGACTGCCTCGTTGTAAAGGCTTAGTGCTACTATTGCATGCTTGGTGATGGCTGGCAGCTCCAAGACTTACCCACTGCCATCACAGAGATGTGTCTCAAGCATTCCCTGAAAACCTAGGTAGAAGCTGGTTCTGATCCCAGAAGACCACAAGTCACAGCAAGGCTTCTTTTCTTAAATGTCCACCTAAGGACATGTCAGATCTTGTGTAATTTTCATTAAGATCCTTCTCCAGGAAATTGCACAAAATAACAATTGACGTTTAGTGTCGTTGTCATTGCAAATGAAATTGTCATTCCTTGTAAAACAGATCGTTGTAACATATCCCAAAAATATCAGTAGTAAAATTTACCAAATACACACATATTCATAAAAATCTGAGGTAGTTTGTGTGGAGGTTAAGGGTAGGATGCAGTGAGTTGTGATTTACCTTGGTGTAGCAAGGAAAAGACTTACTGGTTTCTCTACACCAGGGCATTCCACTTCCAACCTTCAAGCTTAGTGACAGAATTTCAAACTACAATAAGGCGAGGCATTTTGCTTCCCAGATGAGCAAGCAGAATTGAAGCCAAGGGCAGACAGGGATCAGACCAACAAAATAAAAGACAGAAAGAAAAATAATCTCTGCAGAAGCTGGGCTCAGAGAAGCGACGCACAGCCCGTACCTGACTTGCCCGTTCTCGGTGTAGGTGGTTCTGTAAAACCCCACCAGCGAGCCGTTCAGCCAGCCGGCAAACTCCAAGGTCAGCAGGTAGACACTGTCTCCACTGGTGGCGGCAAGCTCCTCTTCAGCCTGGATCACCACATACTCCTGCTGCTTGTACTCGAAGCACCGTCGAATTGGTACCTGCTCCCCAGAGGGCTTCCTCAACTCCGGCAGTTTGGTGACCCTGGTCTCCCTGATGTGCAGCCACAGGTCACGTGTGGACTTGCTCAAGCTGACAGAGATGGTCACTGTGCCCGTGTACCTGTCCTCCTCCATCAGGGCCTTCACCTCCAGGTCGTAGTGGACTGGTTTGATGAAGTCTGGCAGCCTGAAGTTTGTCCATTCTCCACTTTCGTCTTCACTGGCAGGGCAGATGTCCTGGTCCTGGGGAGGCTGGGCAGTGGAAGGAGCCTGGGTTGTGTCCTGCCCAGTGTCTCCAGAGCAATCACACGACCTGGTCAAGCCCACAGAAAGCCCCACTATTAATCCGACCGCCACCACCACCCCACAGATGATGGCCACATGTTTGCCTCTGATGCAGTATCTCTTAGAGGGCTCTTCCTCCGCAAAGTTCATCTTCCTCCCGAAGTCAGATGTTACTCATGAAAGGATGTTAAATTTAACTAACTACGGTCAGTTGACTTCCCTTTTCAATGGGAAGGAGTCCCCTGCTTTGGCAGCCTGACTCTGCTTTCCCACACCTCTATGTCTGGCGTCCAGTGTCTTTTTCCAGTCCCGCCCGTCCCCACCGGCCACTCCAGGGGGAATGCGGAAGAAACCAAGGAGTGGGATGAGGACTCAGGAGAGAAGCTGACTTGAAGGAGGAGTTCGGATGAGAATGTTGGCCCAGCTCTCTATAAACAGCGTCTCCCCAGGCCGGCCCCTCCGGCACTGGAGCGAGTTAAATATAAAACAGAGCTTGAGCCTATCCGCCAACAGGAGGAGGAGATTCTGCCAAACCTCTGTCAGCAGCCTTGAGAGAGAAAGCCTTTGGCTGAGAGGTGTGCTTACGATAGAAAACACAACCTTTGCCACCAGATCTAGGGCTTCTTCCTGCTGTGTGTGCAGTCCGGCTCTCTCAGCCAAAGGGCTTCTTGAATTTCACTATTTTATTAGGTCGCTTGCCAAAGAAGCTAAGTGGTTTTTGGTTTTCGTTGTTTTTTTTTTTCTCCTCTCTTTTCCCCAAATTGTGTAAACACTCAACTTCTGCCCTCTGTGGAAATCATATCCTGGGGTTGGATACTTGGAGGGATGCCTAAATTTAAGGATCACTTAGCTATTCAGTGACACATTGGTTGGACCAGGTGGCCCAAGGCAGACGGATGGAAGGCAAAGAGGAAAGGCTAGAAACCAGGCTGGGTAGGTAAAAGAGTGAGCAAGCCGATGGAAGACTCAAGAGGGCAGAGAGTCGAGTCACTCGGCTTGTCTCAGAGTCTGCCTCCAAGTGAGAGCATGTTCTGGAGACTTTGATATAGTAAGTCAGCTCTGGAGCAGACACCAGGTACCCAAACTGGCCTATGCTGTCCATCGGCAACGGTCTGATCGGCCGTGAGTGAGGTGTGTGTGGAGGCTTACAGTTTCTGTGCTTTGAAGTAGCTTAGTTGCACACACTAGCCATCTCTGACGGAAGCGACGCAAACGTAATTACAGAAGTTTCAATGATCCTTTACACACTGTGCACTATGTAAGTACTTTGTAGAAACCGGCATTTAAATTTTTCCCCTAGCCCTGGGCAATCGGGTCGATTTTGATGCCTATTTTAGAGGTGAGACTGACATATAGACATTGTCCAGGCTGAGGTGGGCATCTGGCAAGAGCAGAATTGGTGTCTGAAGCCAGCTGGTTTGAGTTGAAGGTCCACATATTTACTGCATTGCTTATGGCTTTTCTTATCTAAAGAGGAGAAATAGTCAAGGTTAACTGGTTATTAAAGGCTTAGCATTTTCCAAAGAGCAGTCCTCATGGTGGAGGTAAGATAACATTGAAATCTCTGGCTGGGGAGATGGCTCAGTCAGTCAGTATTGGCCTTGCAAGCACAAAGACCCGAGTTCGGTTCCTAGAGCCCACACTAAAGAAAGAAGAAGAGGAAGAAGCAGCAGCAGCCAGGTGTGATGGTCTGAAACTTAGACTCCCAGTGTTGGGGAGGTGTAGACAAGCACACCCCTGAGGCTTGTTTATCCAGCCTAGCCTACTTGGTGAGTTAAGGCCAGCGAGAGACCCTGTATCAAAAACAGTGTGGTCAACTGCCTGAGGAATGGCAGCCATGTCTGTCCTCCTCCGGCCTCCACACACATGCATCTCTCTCTCTCTCTCTCTCTCTCTCTCTCTCTCTCTCTCTCTCTCTCTCTCTCTCTCTCTTCACACACACACACACACACACACACACACACACACACACACACACACACACACACACTTTGAATCTTTTCTATTGTTCTCTTTTATTTCCCCCCAGAATCTTCAAATCCTTACACCGTGAGATTCCAAGAGAGAACACACTCTGGAATAATTTCCCAGTTTAGCTGATAGGAAGGCTTGCTCCCCATCCCCATCTTGATCTTCCGGTTTTTTTGAGTTTTCTGTTCTAGTGAACTTTTATGTGTGTGAGTGTTTTGCCTGCATGCATGTATGCATGTCTGTGCACCAGTGCTCTTAACTGCTGAGCTCCTGATGAGATTTCTTTTTTTTTTTTTTTAGGGAACTTATTTTCTTCCGTGGAACACATTCTGAGAAATGCTACTTTAAATTTAAATTTCAAATTTAAACAAACACTAGAAAGAGAAGAAACCCTTTAATGTCAAAATAAAACATTAATCTCTAACATTTGTGGAATTTTCTCATGAAATAATGCTGAGAGAAAGAATGGAGAGTTAGGTTTTCTAAATTATAGGTCCATCTTGTAACTATTAATTGCATATTCTGAAACATCCTGAACTTTTCAAGATCTTTTTCATTTGTTTGTTTGTTTTGTTTTGTTTTTCCTTTGGTAAATCAACATTTTAGCCCCTGAATTCCCCTCTTCCATTTTACTATAAAGAAAAAAAAATCACCTGAGATTTCACTAAATGTTTGATGGGTCAAACATTTTAAAGCAAGTCTCCAAAAACAAAAGGCAAAATGTGTATCAAATTTTCTTCAATGTAGTGAAAAAAAATGAGAGAAAAACTATTTGAAAGAATGTACACATAATTATGTTAAGCTGGAAGCCTTATGATATGTAGGCCAGCTGATATGTGTATTTCCTTAAACTCTGCCCTGTCTGGATACACAGTGTCTCATCCGAGGTCTGTGCTCTGACCTGTCAGAGATCATAGACCTTGAGGGGGCTGTGCCCTGCAAGAGGGCTGAGAATGGCCACTCTGCTTGAAATGCCAGAATTCGTGCTGTAAATGTATTTTTTCCTAGAAGAAATGAAATACACTTTAATACCTGGAGTGGTGTGTGTGTGTGTGTGTGTGTGTGTGTGTGTGTGTGTGTGTGTGTGTGCAAATTTCATGCCTAAGGTCCAGTTCTAGCCCAAATATCTTCATTCAGTCAGGATCAATATATTAGGGTTGCCTGATGGATTGACAGAGGTAAAACACAGACCACCGAGGGGCCAGCAGAGCAAGCATGCTCACTGGTCACACCTACGGTCACCACGGCAGGGCAGCTTCCATAACTCCACACTTCCTCCTATTCTCCTTCCTTTCACTGACAATGGAAGACTGAGTCTACAGCGAGAGGCTCTTGACCGTGAAAATCCTCATTCTACACCCCATTCACAGTAAGGATCAAGGCAGCCATTGGTGTGAGGGTTTCTTCCTGCAAGGAGACCAGTGAATCTTCACCCACCTAGATTACATTGTTTGTATTGGATAACTTTGTGACCAATGATGTAGACAATGTGGAAGAGCCACCCTGACCAGTTCCCATTCATTAGGTCCTGACCAATGGGCTAAGTAAACAGCCATTTACTGTAAGTCCTTGACCAATATGTCCAGTAGCTTTTGACAATAGAGAGAATCTTCTGTTTTGACTACAAAGTCTAGACTGTGTTCTCCAGTTGACAAATGCTTACCAATTGCTTAATGAATCAATAACTTAAAAAGAGAGGAGGCCAGGCGGTGGTGGCACACACCTTTAATCCCAGCACTCGGGAGGCAGAGGCAGGCGGTTCTCTGAGAGTTTGAGGCCAGCCTGGGATACAGAGTGAGTTCCAGGAAGGCACATAGCTACACAGAGAAACCCTATCTCGGGGAAAAAAAAAAGAGAGAGAGAGAGAGAGAGAGAGAGAGAACACCAAGAATTCATACAGGGAGGAGTTTGTAGATTTAGTATCCCTGGAAGTGCTGAAACAAAATAAAGATAAGATTTTAAAAAAATAATCAGTTCAAATTCCAGGGAAGACTGGAAAGACTACCTTGGAGCTGGGACTCTTACCTGGGCTTGAGCAAAAGAAAAACTTCTGGATAGTTCCTTCTCATGCCAGTTGCCTGAGGCCAGACACTCACTGTGACATTGGACACCTAGTGTGCACCTCACTCTTTCAGTTGGAGCCTCAGGTTAACACTATTCTTTTAGAGCCACGAATTTCATATTCCATAGAGGCTTATGGGATTTTCTCCATGTGGGGGTCACCACCTCACCCAACACTAGGACCACACCCAAAATTCCTAGCGACAATGAACACCAGGGGAGCTATTCAGCCAGCCCTTGACAGCTATCAGGTAATCTCAGCCTTCCCCATGGCTCAGGAAAGCAAAGACAGAAAGCCACAAGCTGGCTTCACCATCAACGAAGCAGATTCTGCACACCAGGCTGTGCTATTTTAGGAAACAGTTTCCCGCCAAATTGCTAAGAGTGTCACTATTATCAAGGACATAAATTTTATAGCCCTCATGGTCAGCTTTAAACTCCTGGGTTTAGAATTAAGAAGGCACCTCTGCATCAATGTGGCTGTGAGTTCTCCATCCACACTGCAGTGTTATGGACACTCTGTGGAGTCACCTGCCCTACCCTGCCCTGCTCTACTCTGCGTCTTTTAAAATTAATTTATTTAAGAATTTCATGTCACCGGACTGTGGTGGTGGTGCACACCTTTGATCCCAGCACTTGGGAGGCAGAGACAGGAGGATCTCTATGATTTTAAGGCCAGCCTGGTCTATAGAGTGAGATCCAGGACAGCCAGGGCTACACAGAAACCCTGTCTAGAAAACAAAACAAAACAAAACAAAACAAAAGAATTTCATGTGTGAATACAAAGTGTTTGCATAATTTCCACTCTTCCCTGTCTTCTTCTAACACGTCTCAGGTCCACTTCTCAAATTCGCGACCTCGTCTATAAGCATTTTTTTTAAATTTTATGTTCATTGGTATTTTTCCTGCATGTATGTCTGTATGAAGGTGTTGAATCCTCTGAAACTGGAGTTACATGCAATTATGAGCTGCCATGTGGGTGCTGGGAATTGAACCTGGATCTTTTGCAAGAGCAGCTAGTGATCTTAACTGCTGAGCCATCTCACCAGCCCCTCTTCTATAAATATTGTTGACATATATATACATACATACACATACATACATATACACATACATACATACATACATACATACATACACACATACACACATACATACATATGGATATACATACGTGTATACACACACACACACACACACACACACACACACACACACACACACACCTAACAACAATTAAAGAAAAACAGGCCATGAATTTGAGACAGAGCAAGGGGGATGTATATGAAAGGCTAGATGGAGGAAAGGGAAAGGGTAAATGATGTAATTATATTTTAACTTCAAAAATTCGATTTCTTCAATTCGATTAAGGCATTTTCTCAATTGAAATTCCTTCTACTCAGA